TGATTCGGGTCGCAACCAATTCGGGTCGCGACCAGAGTCGCAGAAAGAATTAAGTTCGTGACCCGAGGTACCACTGTAGTTTTATGGCCATTTTCATAGCTCTAACTGTAGGCATTATAAATGAAATCTAAGATTTTAAAAGCCTTAGTTACCAATTTGTAATTTAGAGACAGTATATGCAGCATTATATATCCTGCAATAAACAAAAACAAGGTGGCTGGTTTCAACTTCTTCCTTCATTTCTTCTTATTGCTCTTCATTCTACCTTTTTCCACCAGCTGTGTGACACAGCTAAATCATGATCTCCACAAGTGACAGATACATGTATATGTGAGAGAAAATATCAGGATCTGATGAGAAACAGGCAAAATAAGCTACAATTATCTGTTTTCTTATTGCATGGAAAAGTTATCTGCATCATCTTGGGTCATAACTTGGCTACACCTTAAGTACGAAGGGCTCACATATTTCTTTGGTGCAAGAAAAAGCCTTTGTTGACACACCTGCTTTATCAAAATTGAAGTGATACAGGTGTATTTAGCATGCAATTACAAAATTATCTCATAAAAAGGAACCACAAAGAATCTTAACATACTGATCTGAGGTTCTCTAAGCTATCACCAGATAGATACTATTAACTTTCTCTAAGGCTGAGGGAGGAAAGAACAACCAAACTATGGAAAATAGTTTTGTTTGTGGTTTAATCACTAGAGCTATTAGGAGAAAATTGCACTTGATGACAAGACCACAGGATGCTATTATCCTTTGGAAGTGATGACAATCTGCAAAGGAATTCCCGTAAATACTAAATCATAAAATCTTAAGTACTGCCTTCATTTCCAACACATGTGCAATGTTTTAACATACCACTATGAATGATAATAACAGTGAACTAACATAAACATTTTTACTGACAATGCTGTGGTAAAGAATTGCCCTGTCAAAGCATGATTAAAATTACTTCTTGACAATATGGCTATATCAATACTTCTCTCCAGTAATTCAGGGGGAACAGATGTTATTAAACCAGCCTTGTACTTGATGGCTATTAGATTTCAGGGAGAGAAAAGGGTACTGAAGATGGATTGAAGAGAGTTTATAGAGCTGAAATTCCAACTGAACACCATATTGATTTTTGCTGACTAGGTCAATGTAAAAAATCCAAAAGGACAAAGGTAAAAAAACCCCATAATAGGGTAATTCCTGTTTCCTGAAGCTAAGAACAGAGAAATATCTTGGCCAAGCTGTTCTCCATAATTTCCTTAGAATACAGTATCTATGAGTCATATTTAATGCTATCTTATCAAGAACTCAAATCAAGTTGAATCAGACGTATCTAAAAATTCTACTACCCTATTTTTCATCAATTTAAACCAAGCATATGCTCATTTTGCTATTTAATATTACTTCTATCTATGACACAGGTATTTATACCTATGGGCTCTTTCTAACAAATAGAATTTCTGTGGGGGAAATCCATTTAAATGTGAGAAACAGCTTCATCTAGTGAACTGAGTAAGTTCCATGAGAACATACTGCTCTCTGGAATCTGTGTGCCAGCACAAGCTCACTAAACTGGGCAATAAATAAATAACTTGGCAGAGATTACTAAGAGTTTTTATGAAGCCATATACTTTTTCCACTTGTAAAATGATGCTAAATGGTTGGTGCCCATTTTCTTTTCACATCAAGCTTCTTTCCTAGGCAGGAGCTTGCTTGTTAACTCTGTATTCCCTAATATAGTATCTTCCAGATGTTTTGAAGCTAGAACTTGCAAAATTTTCAGACATGTTGGTGGAAATTCTGAGAATTGCATTTCTAACACATAAGGAAGACACCATTTGGGGGAAATTTGTGTTATATGGAATTAAAAAGGACTTTGGAGTTCAACCATTTGCTTAATGCGGAACCCTAAAGCCCAGATACAATTATAGCAGCCTTTCTCAACCTGATGCTCTTCACGTGTCAGGATTCCAACTTCAAATGAGCCACACTCTCACACACTGAGAGATGGCCATTCAGTCTCTGCTTAAATGCATGCAACTAAAAATCAATGATAAGAAGAATGATTAGCATGCAAGAATGTCTTTTCAACTGTTTGATTGCATTCCTGAAAGAAAATCTTTCTGAAATAGATTTGCAAACAAGTTTGCCTTTTAGGTACATTATGCATCCGAACTGTTGAGTAATTATCAGAATTTGTTCCATCACAATCCCATAATTTGAC